ATAATAATAATAATAATTGCTTACACTTATATAGCGCTTTTCCTGGACACTCCACTCAAAGCGCTTTACAGGTAATGGGGATCCCCTCCACCCCCACCAATGTGCAGCCCCACCTGGATGATGCGACGGCAGCCATAGTGCGCCAGAACGCTCACCACACATCAGCTATTAACCCAGTTTGTATCCCTACACATAACAAAGGGCACCCTGGACTTAATCACTGCAAATGACTTTTGTCTCCCACTGCTCTCCCCTTAACAGGCGATTAATAGTGCTCTTTTATCTACCCTCGACACCTTTGTTCCTCTAAAACCTCGAACCATCTCTTTTTCTCGCTCTGCCCCCTGGTACAGTACACCGACCACCTGTGATCGGTGAAGGCAGTCTCCTGGGTAACTTGAGGGTAGGTGGCGTCTTTCTGGTCTAAACGTACATTATCAGGCTTGGAAAGATTACTTGTCTGAATAAGCTTGAGAAATATACGTTAGAGTCTACTAGATCCACCTACTTCTCTCACATCATTGAAAATAACCGTAACAACCCCAGACACCTTTACTCCACCATCAAGACTGGAAAAGCCTAACTGCCCCACCACATTACCTGCCTCATCGCAACTCTGCAAACACATTCTTAGATTTCTTTAGCTCCGGCATCACATTCTCTCCACTATGCATATCATGCCCATCCCTCCTCCCTCCTCATCCAACTTTTCTGGTTCCCTTCTCTCCAGCTTCTCTCTTCTTGACTCAGTATCCATCAGTAAACTAGTTTCACACATGAAACCCACCACATCTATTTTAGATCCCATTCCCACCACTTTATTTCAGTCCTGTTTCTCTTCTCTCCGTCCCATTGTCCTCAATATTATAAATGAATCCTTGAGCACTGGTGTTGTACCAACGGTCCCCAAAACTGCTGCCATTACCCCCGTGCCAAAAAAGCCTAACATAGCTCTCAACAATCTTAACAATTTTCACCCCATCTCCAACTTACACTTTCTTGAAAAAACTCTAGAACGTGCTGTTTCAATTCAGTTAAATAACCACCTCATTGCAAATAACCTTTTCGAACCCCTCCAATCTGGCTTCCGTCAACTTCACAGCACGGAAACTGCCCTGGTCAAAGTCACTAACAATCTTCTAACAGCTTCTGATGCTAATTCTCTTTCTATACTCATCCTTCTTGATCTCAGTGCTGCTTTTGACACCATTAACTATGATATCTTACTCTCTCATCTTGAGACTGTGTTTGGAGTTTCTGACACTGCTCTCAGATGGTTCAAGTCTTACCTCACTGATCGCTGTCACTTTGTCTCTCTTGGTGGATTTAGGTCTGAAATTGGTCTTGTTAAGTCTGGTGTTCTTCAGGGCTCAATACTGGGCCCCTTGCTCTTCAGCATTTACATGTTTCCACTTGGTCAGCCTTTAAGATCACATGGCCTCAACTATTAGTTCTATACTGACGATACTCAAATATACATCCATACCAAACCAGACACTGACGTGGCTGTCTATTCTATCTAACTGCATCTCATACAGAAAAATTTGGGTGACTCAAAATGTCCTTAATCTGAACTGTGACAAGACTGAAGTCATGCTTATTGACACCCCCATCAAAAGATTATTGGATTATATTGGAACGTTATGTCTCTTTCCTGAAAATGTATCAGCATCACTGGGATTGATCTGAATATACCTCCTTAATCCACTCTGTAAAAGCTGTCAGTTTGAATTCTCACACTTTTGTTGTACATAATAGTTTGAGATCAATACAAATATCTTTACCGATTTTGTTGTCTTCTGTCAGGTCTGCAAGGCCAAGAGTAAGTTTTTCCATAGACTGAAGACTTCCAAATCCATCCGTTATCTTCTCAAAAACACCTGAAGTCTGACTTGCAATATTCAGTTCTGTGAGACAAGGTAGCTTGTCCAAATTTGCCAACAGAGACTCTAGAGAAGAAGGAATAAAATGAGAGAGTGACCTTGCCGGACAGGTGAGCAGAGTTGAGAGGTTAATGTTTCTTCAAAATAGCAAGCAAACCTCCAGCCTGTACAAAACAACGGCACAGGATACAGGCTTAATCACAGAGCAGGTGACTCCAATTCATTAACATCTAGTTTTAGAAAGCTTATGACATTTACATTCGCCTGCCATTTGTATTTAAATACCTCAAGCTAATTTAGACCCACAGTGATAAAACAGAGGGCTGACAGCCTGACTGTCAGGAGGTGGCTGGACGAGATCCACAGGTCATTAGTTAACAGCAACCAAGCTGGCTGACAAGGCCAAACAGCACCATCTGGTTTGTCACCTTTCTAATACTCTTATCCTACACGAGGGAACATAAAAAATAGTATTTCATGAAATTAAACCTTGTTGGTCTCTGTTCCGAAAAAAAAAAACAGACTGGCAGTCTGCCTCCTGACATGACACCACAGCTCAAGGAGACAAGTGAAAATTAAGAGGGCGAACATTTAGGGCTGATAACAGAAGCACATCTTTACACTAGCAGTTGTGGGGGTATGGAACAAACTGCCCATTCACATAGCTTATGCCGATCCCTTGAGATCCTTCAAGAAACAGCTGGATGAGACCCTCAGCTCAATTAACTACTGACTATCAAACAGAGCAGATAGGTTTGAATGGCATGAAATGATATTTTTGAGGCAGGACAGGAAGAGGGACAACCTATTTCAGAGTTGTTCATTATTTTATTACTGAATATTAGAATAATGTTACAAAACAGCTGCGGCAGCCAAGGCTCTGATGTACAGTAGTCCCAGATTCTCACAGTACCTGGCGTGACCTTGAAAGTCAGATCCAGAGACTCCAGTGCAGACATCGACAGTACCAGGTCTTCCTCCACCTCGCTCAGCCGAGTCCCAGAATATCGGATCCCTCTAAAGACGGACCTGCTTTGTTGAAATACAGGCAGCAGACTCTCAAGGAAACCATCTGAGTTTGTCACATCTAGGTCAACCTTGTTACAAACCGACAGGATGGCCTCCAGACTCCTCTGATCTTGGTCCTCCAGCCTCTCTAAGTCCAAGACACTGAGTTTTAGGAGCGGCAGGGCATGACTTTTCCCAGCCAGCAGTAAGGTACTGACTGTGGCTTCATTAAAATGCCGAAGAGTCTTCATGTTGAACTGGTGGATGTTCTCTTGCTCTGCAGAGGTCTTCTTCTCAACATCGCTCAGCAACTGGAACGCTGAGGCATACTCTTCCTCAACCACAGGCTGGCCGTGGAATTTAAAAGCCTCCCCTGTTTTCAAGAAGTCCAGCTCCCGGCCCTTTCTACTGCCAACTGCTGAGATCGTTATGCAGTTCAGCAGCGACAGCGCCTGGGGATATAACTCAACAAAGTGATGCACAGAGGATTTTCCACCTCTGCTTTCGAAGCTCAGACATCTCCCCGAGAGGAAGGCGAGGATGAGGGGGGCGCAGGCCGGGACAGAGCGGCCGAGGAAGGCGGCCTGGATCGCCAGCTCCAGAAACTGGTGCAGCCAGATGTCCACGCCCAGGTCCAGCTGCACACACACTCGGAGCGCCTGCTCATTCACGAGCAGCTCTGGGTGGAGCTCCAGGAGCCTGCTGCTCTGCGACCGGGAGTGGAGGAACCCCTCCTGTCCCGCGATGTCGAACAAGTGGGCGACGATCGCCGCGGCCGCCGCCGCCGAGCAGCTGCAGGCGTAGAGGAGAAAGAAGCGATGGTCCAGCAGGACCCTGAAGCACGTGTCCACCTGCCGCAGGTAGCAGCGCCCCCTGTCCCTCAGCGCCTCCGAGTCCGACTCCAGGAGCGCGCTCAGCCGCTTGGCCGCCAGGAACTCCTGGAAGGAGAGGTGGAAGAAGCGGTAGACCGGGCGGAGCACCTGCGCGGTGAACTTGCTCAGCAGGCCCAGACTGAGCGCCGCCTGCCCGTCCACCCCGGCGGCCGCCAGCTCTGTGTCCGCGAACTCGAACTGCTCCTCGAACAGCCCAGCCAAGGCCAGCTCCCCGCACGACGCCACCGCGGCCGTCACCACCTCGGGGCCGAGCCCGCGACTCTGGATGACACAGTCCAGGTAGGCTCTGAAGACGGCGCTCCTCTCCAGGGGCGCCTCGGGGTCCCGGACCAGCGCCGAGCACAGAGCCACGGCAAACAGCGGGGTTTTGAAGAGGCCTCGCAGCTCTTCCGACAGGCCCAGCTGGAGGAAGACCTTCTCTACCAGTGTGGGGTTGTGGGAGAACAGGCGTTTCAGAAGGAAGGTGGTGCTGTATATAGGAAACTGCCGGATCTCCAGCACGGCCGAGGCGAGCTGCCGCACGCGCGCGGTCCGGTTGGTCTGCAGTCCCATGACGATGCTCGTCTTGCTCAAGTGATTTTTGAAGATGAGCTCTTTGAGGCACGCTGGGAGTGTTCCTGCGGCACCGTCATCGTCGATCAGGAATAAGAGCTGCTCTCTCAGGGTGTAGACCATGCTCCTCACGGCTTCCTCATCCAGACGCCGGCCTGCGCCGCACAGCTGCTCCGAGATCACGTCAGCCAGACCCTGCTGCCCGTCCACAGACTTGAGAGAGAGGAAGAACACCAGCCTGAACCGGTGCAGCACGGGGCAGTCCCCAGACGCCCACAGCAATGCAATCTTCTTGAGCAAGGCCGTCTTCCCGCTGCCCACCTCTCCCTCGATCGCAGTGATGTGGCTCAGGTGTCTGAGCAGGGCCGGCAGGCACATGTGCTGGACGGGCTCGTTCCTCGTGTTCTTGGACACCAGTGGCAGCCAAGCAAAGGTGGACTGAAGGTCCAGTGCTGTGGGCACAGTCTCAGGAATGGACAAAATTCTCCTGAAGTCTAAGGAGCTGTAGGTCTCCTTCAGCCAAACTGACAGACGTCTTGCTGCTGCCAGCCAGTTATTTTCATCCAGGTTTGAATCTGCAATAGAAGAAGGAAAACTGGAGAAACTGAACAAGCTCTTCACTGTGTGTCTATAGTGCACAGTGTGAGACTGCACTCTGTCCCTTTAGCTCTTCACTGTGTGTCTATAGTGCACAGTGTGAGACTGC